AATTCAGTGTTAAAATACAAGTACCTCTAAAAGTAACAAAGGTACTGGAAGAACTTCACCTAAACAATCTTCAAGGTGGTGCCACTTTAATAGAGAGTTGGAGTTTCTCTCTTAAAAGATTGTTGAAAAGGATAAGCGTAAGGCCAAAAAAGCGCTAAGCGAGTTATGAGGAACTTGAGAATACGTGGTACTCATGTGTGTGTTCTTACCGATATTGTCATATGGAATAACTGGTTCAAAGTTACACGCTACCTTTGATTTCGACTATACTTTGTTTGAATTACACTATTGTTAGATTCAAATAGAAAGATATATAATCATTATGCATTAGTATAGTATACTATGAATATAAGACTTGTTAATTTTGAACAAGTGGAGGATTGCTATGATTATGTTGTTTAAAACCAATAACAATAATTTTTTTTTTTGGTCCATGCGATCGTATGGTTATATGCCGAGACCATTTGGTCTCGGCATGGGTAAACCATGTGGTTGCATGGGTTTGTACCATGCGACTGCATGGTACAACTTTTTGACCCCTTTTTTGGCCGTTGAAAATTTGAAATTTGTGACTTTTCATTTGATTTTTTGGCATCATTTCGTACTCCTGGTCGATGGCTATATATAGGAGAGCCATGTTTGAGGAAAAGATGTTAGAAAAATATCTTGCAATCATACTTTGTTCTAAGAACAATCAAAATCCCTATTTACATTCATATTCAATCCTTGTGCTCTTCAAGTTTTCAAGGATTTTCACTTGTGCTTTGGTGATTAATTCTTGTTAAGGCTTGTTCAAATCCTACAAACCATTTGCTATCAACCTTCAAAACATCTCAAATCAATAGGAGAAGGGGCAAATATCGTTTGAGAACAACGATATCATGTTCAAGCTATTCATTGATACAAGTTTGTGATTATCTTGTTATTGGCATTGCCGGTTCATGTTTCGTAATTTCTACTCCAACCCAGTGAAATTTTTACAAGAGCAATGGTGGCAAGTACTCACCTATCTCGATTCTATTATAGCAGCCAGATTGCTTTGAGCCAAATATTTCTTTTATGCACGTTGATATCAAAGGCAACTGTTCTTACCTCTGGTATAGTACATATGGGGCCGATAACTCTCAACCGAAGATCGAGAAAAGGCGAGTCTTTACAAATTAGAAGAAAAACTGTCCCTTTTCTTACACCATGTCGTGGTGATTGATTACTGACACAGGTTGAATTTGTTAAGAGATACTAATTATTGAGATATAGACCTGCATATAAAACTTATTTCTCTTAAAAATGTTGATTTTTCAATATGGAACTTTAAGTCTTAACATGTTAATTAATATGAAACCCTAAGTTTTAATATGTAATCAGAGCTCATTATGCTTAAACGAGCAATTTGATTGGACTAAGACTCTAATGAACACAAAACTTAAGATTGATCTAATTAAACAAGCCACTATCTTTCAGAGGCATGTTAAGAGATAAATCCTACATCGACTAATTAGATTGTGTTTGATTGGCTTTATTCTTTATGAACAATGTCATTTTTTTCATCTAGATTCCTACTTTTGAGGTGTTTGATTTGATTGGCAAATTTTTTCATGAAAAATATTTTTCAACTTTTAGTCATATGATCATAGTCCTCAAAAACAAGGAAACCATTTTTTTAAGGGAGGAATAATAATTTTTTTAATTAAAAAGTATATTGAAATACTAAATATGTAATTTTACTTGAGGCTATTTAAGTAAATATACCAAAGGTTAAAAATTGTAGTGCACCTAACAAAATTTATAGTGGTAATATAATCACGTTTTATGTATTGTCAATGATAAGACGCGCAAACTGTTCACTGACTTTGTTATCAATTAAAATTTAAAAGGATTAGTTGTGAACCTAGCAAATGTTTTTAAAATCAAAATACGTGCGAGCTCAGGATAGAATTGGCAAGCATTAACAGTGCAAAGCTATGTGATCGACCTTTAGCATAAACAACGAACCCCTATATTTAAGTTGTTTTCACTTTTTATTTCATATCAGCACAAATCGTTGTAAAAGTATGTGTGAATAAAAATGTAAAGCGTCGCTAAACAACCTATGGATGAAGAATAAATGGACACGTAATTAAAATATGAAAATAAAACATTCAGTTAGAAGTTCACTAATCAATTACTGCCATGTATCGTTAACAGAAATAACTAAATTGCTCCTATGATCCCATTAGACATCTATAAATAGAGATAGTTGCGAACAAACAAATGCATACAAAATTTGAACGTCCTCCTTTTAAATAGTCATTCTCTTCTTGCTCTTGCTCAAGTATAAAATAAGTGAATTTAAAAGGGAAAATCCCGATTAGATGGGAGGAATTTTTTAATCTCTTGTTGTTGTCAGTAATTCAAGTCCATATAGTGATATCATGCAATAATTTGTTTTTAACATGGAGCCAAAGTATGTAGTTACTGAAGGAACGAAAAGGGATCGGAAAACATAGCACAATCCAACACTAATTTTTGAGAAAAGTAGGACATAAAATATAGCTAACAAGATATACATAAAATGTGCAAGTTTTAATAAATATTTTAATTATAGAAGCTGATCCTATACAAGACAATGATACAAATATTACCGCAGTGAAAGAACAGTAACATAAATTAGAACATGAAAGAAGATGTAATCTAGGAAAGTATTCAGATAAATTAAGAAATAAAAGGGGGGCCATGTTTTTTTCATTGGCAACAAGTTCTTGCAATGCCCCTTCTGTTGGATTAATATTCAGCGACCAATGGAAGAGTTGTAGGGTGTGGGAATCAAGTAAAGACCATTTTTCCTTGACACAGTTATTCCTTCTCCCTCCGAGATGTCGACTTCACCGTGTTTCATTTCTTTAGGAAGTTTCCAGTCAAAGTGGTAGAGAAGTTGAGCTAAAGGAAGCTCAATATTTGCTAAACCAAAGTTCATACCTGGACAAAACCTCCTTCCGGCTCCAAATGGAAGAAATTCGAAGTTACTTCCCAAGAAATCAACTGAATTGTTCTCGAACCTCTCAGGTTTAAAGCTTTCTGCTTCAGGCCAATAATCTGGATCTCTTCCCAAAGCCCAGATATTAATAATGATTTTGGTTTTGAGGGGCATAGTGTAGCCATTAACTTCACATTCTTCCCTGCATGCTCTTGGAAGCAAAGGAATTGGAGGGTGCATCCTAAATGTTTCCTTGATTACCAACTTGAGATATTTCAGCGATTGAACATCGCTCTCTTCAAATGTCTTCTTTTCTTTAGCAACTTCTCTTATTTCAGCTTGTGCCTTTGCCATCACACGAGGATTTCTCATCATTTCTGCCATAGCCCCGTCGATTGTGGTGGATGAAGTTTCAGTTCCAGCCGTAAACAAATCCTGCAATCACTACAATTGTTATTGATGTTGGACTAATAAATGCTAAGAAGAAATAAATAAAATCATATATATGAAATACTTACAAAAATGATTGCTTTGATGTTGTCATTAGTTATTGGAACAGCAAGTTCTCCACTTTGTTGTAATCTGAGTAGAACATCAACTATGTCTTCACCACCTAAGACACCATTGCCTCTTTTGGTTTTAGCTAGGCTATCTCTATGCTCATTGATCATGGAGTCAAGAATTGCATCAAGTTTACCCCGCATCTTCCACAATCTATTTTTATTCCAACTCATGATTTGTAGCAACTTTGAAGAAGGGAAAAAATCAGCCAATGCAAAGCCTCCAGCCAAGGCTGTTCCTTCCTTCATCAGCATTATCAAATAGTCTTTGTCTCTTAGTACTTCACCGAATGCTGCTCTGCATGTCATCGAACTTGTAAATGAGAATATTCTATCAGTTAGGTTGATGGGTTTCCCAGAAGATGATTGGATAGTTTTCAAAAGATGTGAAGCCTCCTCTAGCCTTATGGAGCCAAATGATCGAACATTTTTGGTGCTTAAGAGCTCCAAAATGCATAGTTTACGCATTTGCCTCCAATATTCGTTGTATGGACTAAAAGCAATATCAGTATAGTCGTACCACATAATTTTACATCCAATACTTTCTGGCCTATCAGCACAAGCAGGATCATGAACCTTTAGTACATCTTTGGCAGCTTCACGCGATGATATGACAATTGCTGGAACTTCACCAAGCTGTAGATGGACTACTGGACCGTACTTTTTAGTTACATTTCTTAAAGCATGATGAGGGGGTGCACCAACCAAGTGGTGCATGTTTCCAATCAAAGGCAGCTTCCATGGACTTGGAGGTAATTTTATGTTCTTGTTAGAGGATTTCGGTTTCTTCAATCCCTTAACTAAAAGAAAGATGAAGGCTATGAAAAGTAAGAGAGTGGTGAAGTTGAAGGGAAGAAGCCGAAATTCCATTGTTTTTCCTCCAAGTTCAGTCGTCTGTTTTGTTTGTAGTACTTAATGCACCAAAAATGTCTCGTATATATAGTAGGTTGTTGGTATGTGTATCAATATTGACTGGAATTTGCATACATAGAAAAATTATTCTATTTTGAAATTTTCACTGACTCTTAAGATGTTTTTATTTTGGTGTATGAATTGGAACGGTATAATAATCATAATTCAAGCCCCCTGAGACATAGTTTAGTGGTGCAAAGGATAGAAGTGAGATTATCTCACGCCTTGCTGGCAGCCGCAGTGTGGGAGTTCGATTCCTAAAACATGAAATTGGATTCTTTGTATGAGTATTGTACAAACAGCTTTTATTTTCTGACCTATTGGGGCACATCCTGGGATTTATCTCCCTCATAAAACTCTAGGGGCGGGATAATGGGGGCCCTAAGATTGGGGTTCAACCTTTTTTAATAATCATAATTCATCTGTCATCATTCTTTGCGTTTCACAGGATTATTCCCTAATTTCGGTTGCTTTTCACATTCCCGGTGCCAATATTGACTTGCAGAGCTTTTATTCGTAAGTAGCCTGCCAAGGTACTAAAATTTTCTACGGTCAGACTAGACTAACCTGATATAGACATTCTATTCAAATGTAATGGTAAGACTACATTAAACACAGGTCATCCAACTATGAATAAAGTTTTATTTTAGTTACTCGAATTTTCTCTAGTCCTAAACTCATCACCGAACTATAAAATTTCGTTCAACTTGATCATCAATATCGATTTTGTCATAAGATTTAACATCAATTCAGGTGTGGTGGACCAATTTTCTTATATGGACTCCTTGTGATGCTAGTTTCATACATTCACTGGACAACGATGCAAATATGCGTTATTAGTAATACAGTTGTGTTATTAAAATGTGAATTTTAAAACAATCGAGAACTTTTGAAAGGTAAAACATGTGATTTTATTGTACAACTAGACGGCGAGTCAGAGTCTCATAGCATTCATATTGTCTAAGTATGATGAATCACTTGTTATGAAGAAAAGGAAGTCAAATTTTGTGATGGGATCCTTGTAGATTACCGGACTGTAATGAAATTAAAACATCGACGTTGAATCTGAAATTAAGAAAATTCCAACTGAAATGAAACGTCACTCAAAGCTGTAAATGACTTCCAAATGTACACACCTTTGATCAGAAAGACTTTTCCCCCATTTTTTTGCGGTTATCTTCTGTTTGGCTAGGCTTGTTTCAATTTGATTATATTATAAATAACCCAGCTTCTTGCATTTGTTTGCGTGTGTTTGTATTTTATTTTATGTTATTATTATTATTTTTACCCCATTGAGCATATTAATATTATTATTGTTAGAAAAAATACAGAAAGAAAGTAGGAATATTGTTGGAATTATAAAATAATGAAAAGTAACATGACAATAAATAGAGTAAGGGTTTGTTTGATTGCAAAGATGGAATTTGAGTGCAAAAAAAATGAATTTCAAAAGGGTCTGTTTGATTGCAAAGATGAAATTTGAGTGCAAAAAAAATGAATTTCAAGGAATTGAGTTGTCTAGAAATTGTTTTCCTATAAATTGTAAATTATTGTGTTTGATTAATATAATTTTTTACATGAAAAATGTTGAAATGAAAGTGTTTTTTTGGTGTTCGTTTGACTTTATTTTATATGAAAATTGTCAATTAAAGGGATAAAATTTACTGATATTAGGGATGAATTTGTTTCCATTGCCCAAAAAATAAGAAAATTATTTATCTTTTGGTGTTTATTTGGCTTTATTTTACATGAAAATTGTCAATTAAAGAGAAATATTTGTTTACAACAATTCTTAGAATTTGTTTCCATTGCCGACAAAATTAAAAAAAAATGGAAAAAAAAATCCAGCAGCCAGGAATTCCCATTATCACCATTTTGGTGAGAATTCTAATTCCTTGATTTCATGGAAAATGCTGACGTAGCAAGAAAGTGGGAATTTCAATTCTAAGGAAAATTTTGGACAATCAAACAATCAAAAGTTGGAAAATGGATGAAATAAGGACAACACCTTCTTATATAGTATGGGGATTTCAATATTCTATTAATTTTACATTAACACAAAATATGTTACAATGAGACTTTGTAACCGTCGATTGATTTAAAATATTAACTAGAGAATTGAAATATATTGAATTTATTGTTACAATTTCTCATTCACTTTTTATTTTTATTTTATTTTTTTCCAACAAATATAAGATGGGACAGTCATCGGGTATACTTTTAAATGAAAATAGTGACCAAAATTTAAACAAATAGAAGGTAAGATATTTTTATCTTATTTAAATATTTATATGTAGTTTAGCATACGTACGTGTAATTTTATTGATGTGTACGGCTATTTATTTTGTGATGTGATCTATATGCTCCAAGTTTTTAAATATTTTATTTACTTCATAATATTCAGTCGCAAAGGGCGGCGAGGTCAATGGGGTCCCCTAACGAGGCTGAGAGGACCGTGCTATATACACAGCACGGTTCACACCAACTTTCACAGCCCCCTCACATCGGGGGGGAGCACGGTAAAAAAAAAAATAAAAAACAGGTGGGGCCCCCTCATTGTGAGGGGCCTGTGAAACTGAGTGTACAGCTCGGTAAAAACCAGGCTGAGATTGGAGAAATTTTTTATTTTAATATTATTATGTTTTGTTTTTCAAATTTCTTCTCATAGTTTAATTAGGTACTCATTGGATTCGAGTCTTCACTTTATCATTGATAATATTCTAATGTCTCAGTAGTTAGTTCTTATCTTTTTTTTTTTTTTTTTTTAATTAGTAAGTTTTCTTCTTCATGGTGTTTTCCAAAGGTATTAATTGGTCAAGTTCGCTTGATTCAGCTTGGCCCCACGGCACCGGGGGGCGTGGGGGTCTCTAGGAGCCAACATGAGACGGCTCCTTAATTTTAATTTTATTTATTTATTTATTTTTTGGGCACGGGTTGTCTCATCAACTAGGCGGTTGGCAAGGAGAGCCCAACTAGCTCATGAGTTACTCGTTGGCTAATTAAAAAATAAATGAAAATTTTTTAGTTATATTTTAATGTATTTTTTTTATTTTTAAAATCAGCTGAAAAAATAAATTTGAAGCTGTAAAAGCTCTCATTCTTATTTGGGTTTGGGACCGACCATACAACATGTGGGGAAAATTAAAATTGAGCAAATTAGTGTTTCATGAATAATTTTTGTTAAAAACTTAAATAGATACACTTTAGTTTACCAAATAAAATAAATTGAATTTTCTAGTTTACTACCTTCATTACCTGTATTTGCAAGATATTAAATGTGACAAAACTCACCTTCATCGATTCAGTGGTGTACGTAATAATGTGCTTCTATTCAATTAAAATATTGTCATCATGTGCTATAACTTTATCTAGAATAGTATAACCCGAAATGTGGGGGTTAAAATTAATCTTATGAACTTATATGAGAAGTTCAAAGATATATGGATGCAATATTACAAGATTGCATAAGAATTCTTAATTAAGGAATTGTGGGGGTAACTTAATTTAAAAGTTATCGTATCCTGTACCTTTTAATCATAGAAATACATCTATGATGGAGAAAGGTAGAGAATGCCTTGTAAGAATGAAACACACTAAGTCTAAATTGGACTAAATGGGTAAAAGCAGATTGTGGCGCATGCAAAAACAATGGAATATTTAAAGAATATTCATTGAAGATCATTGTAATAATTCAATGATGAAAAGTGAATACCCAAGGATGGAAATATCCACAAATAAAAGTGATTGACTAGTATAATGATTTGAAAGAAATCATCCAACGGTGTTTTGAAAAATCAATAAGGCTTTAAAGTAAGTGGGTAGCATGTGGCTTCTTGATGGTGACAAGTTGTATCTATCAAATGAATCGATCATTGGCTAGCTATATTTTGATAAGATACTAAGTCACATAAAATGAGAAGTAAAGACATAAAAGTCTTAAAAGTGACGTCACAAGGAAATTATCAAAAGTGAAATAATTTTCGAAGAGAATTTAGCGGATCCTTCAACTAGACCACTAAATAAAACTTTAGTGGCATCTACTTCAAATAGGATGGGGTTGAAACTCCTAAACTATAAAGGTCCACTAATGACGGCAACCCTACTCATCGCTTACTCAAAGGGTTATCGAGGTGGGTTACGAAATGATGTGAGAAAGGAAATGTTACAAGCACGCCTTCTTAGTACGAAAGTAGCCTATCAATTTGTAGTCCGAGTGGAACGTCAAATGGGTGGTTCAGGATGAGGGAAGGCTCCTGTTGAAGAGGTTAAGTCAACCAAGGTGAATTCTAGTGATCTTAAGGGCAAATCTTGTATTCCTGGGGAGGGACCACAATGTTACAAATGCAAAGAGTATGGACATTATGCTGTTGTATGCCTTACTCGGGACAAAAAACTTGCCTATGTTTGTGAGAAAGATTTAAGGATTATGGAAGCTGTTGAAGGAGAAGAAGAAATTGAGGATGTGGAAGATGGAGAAGAAGAAGAACATTTGGTTGCTATCACTCTACCTAGTTGTGTTATTCAACGAATCTTAGCAGGTCATAAGATGGACACAGACATAAAGGAAGTTTGGCGCTGTACTAACATTTTTCACACCCGCTTTGAGCATGATGGTCGGCGTTGGATGTTATTATCGACAATGGGAGCAATATGAATGTTATCTCAGAATGAGTGGTGAAACGTTTGGGATTAAAAATGGTGCAGCACCCTACTCCTTACCGTATTAGTTGGGTCAATGAGACCACTACTGTTCCAATGACGTCTCGTTGCCTAATTAAATTTTCACTGGGCAAAAATTATGTGGATGAAGCATGGTGTGACGTGATTCCGATGTCAGTATGCCACATGTTACTTGGTTGACCATGGTTGTTTGGTAGGCGAGTGTCCTATGATGGTTACAACAACTCTTACTCGTTTGTCTTCAAGGGAAAAAAATTAATCTTTGATCCTTTGAAAATATCCGAATTTGAATCCTCTAAGGTGCTCACATTTACAGATGAAGTGGCTCTCCTTACTTGAAACAAGTTTTTGAAAATTGTGGCCGTTGAGAATTCTTTGGTGATGTTGTTGGTTACAAGCGAGAAAAAACAGAACGATGGTCGTATAACTTTGGAGTTGGCCGAATTGTTGGAGGATTTTAAGGATGTCATGCCGAATGAATTACCAAATTCTCTTCCTCCCATGCGGGATACTCAGCACATAATCTATCTTATTCCTAGATCTATTTTACCTAATTTACCTCACTATTGCATGAGTCCTATAGAAAATGAGGAACTTAGGTGCAAAATTCAAGAGTTGCTAGATCGCAGGTTTATACGTGAGAGTTTGAGACATTGTGCCATGTCGTCTCTACTCACTCCTAAGAAGGATGGCAGTTGGCGGATGTGAGTGGATAGCTGGGCTAAAAATCTCCCAATTCCCCGCCTCGATGATATGTTGGATTTATTGAGTGATGCTTCCATTTTTACTAAGTTGGATCTTCGGAGTGGGTATCACCAGATTCGTGTTCGGACCGAGGATGAGTGGAAGACTGCTTTCAAGACGAAGGATGGGTTGTATGAATGGCTTGTGATGCCCTTCGGTTTAACCAATGCACCTAGTACTTTTATGAGGGTAATAACACAAGCATTGAAGCTAGTATTGGGTAAATTTGTAGTTGTCTATTTTGATGATATTTTAATTTTCAGTCAATCTGTGCAGGCTCACATTGACCATTTGAGGCGCATTCTAACTATACTTTGGGCAGAGCAATTATTTATGAATCGCAACAAGTGTTCCTTTATGCAATCACATGCTTATTTTTTGGGATTCATAATCTCTGATCAGGGCACAGAGGCTGACCCTATTAAAGTACAAGCAATTACAACTTGGCCTGTCCCTCGATCATTTTCTGATGTTCGAAGTTTTCATGGGCTGGCCACATTTTATAGGCGTTTCATCCGACATTTTAGAACCATAATGGCGCCACTGACTGAGTGTTTAAAGGCCAAACAATTTTTATGGTTAAAGGCAGCTGATGCGGAATTTAAAGAAATTAAAATCAGAATGAGAGAGGCTCCTGTTTTGAGGCTTCCAGAATTTTCTAAGGTTTTCGAGGTAGCTTGTGATGCATCACATGTGGGTATTGGGGGCGTTCTCAAACAAGAGGGTCATCCAATTCCATTCTTCAGTGAAAAGCTTAATGAGGCATGGCGTCAATATTCAGCTTATGATATGGAATTCTATGCTCTGGTTCAAACACTTAAACATTGGCGTCCCTATTTGCTACACAAGGAGTTCATCCTTTTTACAGATCATGATGCCTTGAAACATCTTCATTCACAAAATAAGTTGAGTGCCAAACATGCCAGGTTGATGGATTTTCTACAACAATTCGACTTTGTCATTCGCCACAAGTCAGGGGCTGAAAATAAGGTGGCTGACTCACTCAGTCACCGTCTGCATTTGTTAGCGTTATTTTCAGCTAATTTTGTGGGATTTCAATCTCTTAAATCCCAGTATGAGGATGATCGGGATTTTGGCCCAGTGTGGAAGGCATTACATCCCAACTTTGTTGCAAGTAATGTGGATTATTCCCAAGTAGGTGCTACAGAAACAGGTACTGAAGATACAAATGCTACTAAAGTGGAAGATTATGTCATTAAAGAGGGGCTTCTTTTTTTTTTTTTTTTTTTGAAGTCACGATTATGTATACCAGGAGGATCTTTTCGTGATTTTCTTGTTGAAGAGTTGCATGGAGGGGGACTGGCTGGCCATTTCGGGCACGCCAAAACGTACGATCTGATTGCTGATCGATTTTTTGGCCTCATTTAGGGCGTGTTGTGCATCAAGTTGTTGATCATTGTCGAGTTTGCCAACTCAACAAAGGCGGTAAGCAAAACACGGGACTTTATACGCCTCTATCCATTCCAAGCAAACCTTGGCAAGACCTTAGTATGGATTTTGTTTTGGGGTTTCCAAAAACATTATGACACAATGATTCTATCATGGTTGTGGTGGACCTTTTTCAAAAATGTCCCACTTTATTCCTTGCAGAAGGACATTTGATGCTTCAAGGGTCGCAGTGTTATTTTCACAGAAGGCAGTAAGGTTACATGGGGTTCCTTCTACTATAATTTCTGACAGGGATGTGAAATTCATGAGTTATACTTGGAAGACACTCTGGGCTACAATGCGTTCTAAGTTATTATATTCTAGTGCTTTCCATCCACAGACGGACGGGCAAACGGAAGTGACGAACCAGAGTGTGGGAAATCTTCTTAAAAGGGGTTTTTTTTTTTTTTTTTTTTTTTGAAGTCACGATTATGTATACCAGGAGGATCTTTTCGTGATTTTCTTGTTGAAGAGTTGCATGGAGGGGGACTGGCTGGCCATTTCGGGCACGCCAAAACGTACGATCTGATTGCTGATCGATTTTTTGGCCTCATTTAGGGCGTGTTGTGCATCAAGTTGTTGATCATTGTCGAGTTTGCCAACTCAACAAAGGCGGTAAGCAAAACACGGGACTTTATACGCCTCTATCCATTCCAAGCAAACCTTGGCAAGACCTTAGTATGGATTTTGTTTTGGGGCTTCCAAAAGCAGTGCGACGCAATGATTCTATCATGGTTGTGGTGGACCGTTTTTCGAAAATGTCCCACTTTATTCCTTGCAGAAGGACATTTGATGCTTCAAGGGTCGCAGTGTTATTTTCACAGAAGGCAGTAAGGTTACATGGGGTTCCTTCTACTATAATTTCTGACAGGGATGTGAAATTCATGAGTTATACTTGGAAGACACTCTGGGCTACAATGCGTTCTAAGTTATTATATTCTAGTGCTTTCCATCCACAGACGGACGGGCAAACGGAAGTGACGAACCAGAGTGTGGGAAATCTTCTTCGATGTCTTATAGCTGATCATGTTACTTGCTGGAATTTAATTTTACCCCAAGCAGAATTTGCATTTAATAATTCAGTTAACAGGTCTACTGGGTGTACCCCCTTTGAAGTAGTGTAGAGGTTTCGTTCTCAAACTCCATTTGATTTAAGTTCCCTACCATTACCTGCTCGGCTTCGTAATGCAGCTGTGGACTTTGCTCATTATATACAGGATACACACAAAGAAGTCAGATGACGTCTTACTCTCAGTTCTGAGCAGTATGCTAATGCAGCCAACACCCATCGTCGAGAGAAGCAGTTTGCCATTGACGATCTTGTTCTTGTTTGACTAAGGCCTGAACATTTTCCTCCAAGGAGTTATAGCAAGCTCCACGCATGTAGCTTGATCCCTTTCGTATACTTAAGAAATTGGGATGAAATGCTTATGTTGTTGAGTTGCCCTCTTACCATAACATTAGTCCCATTTTTAATGTTGAAGATCTTACAGAATTCAAGGGTGAGCTAAATGACAGTGTTTCTTCAGGAGTTTCTGCGAGTAATTCAATGGGCGATGCACACATTCCTAGTGTCTCTAAATCGCGAGAAGAAATAGACGCAATATCTGACCATCAATTTGTTACTACTCGTCGTGGGGGTTATTACAAATTTTTAGTCCATTGGAAGAACAAGCCACATTCAGAATTTGTTTCGCTTCAAGGTGATGAATTACGACGCCTCAATGCTACGCTATTTGAGTCCTGTCTCCAAGCCCACTTGCCGGAGTCAAGTCTGTTAGGATGGGAGGAAATTGGATATGAATAATCATATGGATTAACTTGAAGAGTGTTGCTGTTGCTATTTTGTAGTTATTTTTATGTTGCTGGAGTCCAATATTAGTGAATAACTTATTAGATAAATAAATAGATAGGTAGGGGGTTTATGGTAGTTGGTTGGTTTTCTTTTGTTATTTGAAGCGTGTTGCTTCAGGGAGAAAGTCCCAACATTTTTTATTCAATTTCAGTCCATTTTTTATCAGCAATAAAGTCATTTCTTAGCATTATTTCTCAAGTTATTAACATCCTTCCATCAAAATGCCTAAGAAAATGCATATTCTTGTAGGGTGGTTCCAAATTTCAACAATCTAAACCACAGGTTCATAAGCCTAAAGGCTAAAACATTGAGTTGAGTATTTATAAATTAAATTTATTTGGAAGGAGTCTATCAATTTCTTGATAACTATGTATCCCTTGTGATCCCTTTGGATGGGTGGTGATTATATTATCCCTTAGGCATGTATTTTACTTAATGCTTTGTTCACTTTTTCTTTTTAATTATCTTTTTCCGATTGGATATCAAATCGATACTAGATCTTTTATCGTCATTGTTGAGGTCCAAATGTAAATGATCATCATGCTGGATAAAGGGATATTTGTGATATTGATATTTAAGAATTCAGGAGACAATCCAAGAATTCAAACAGCAGGTGACAAATTTTGAACTCTTTCACAATGATAATGATGAGAATAATTCGGAGGTTGCACATACAAGTGAAGTAGATCTTCAATTCTTGATCAACTCTAGATCATCTCTAACCCTACACCATTTTGTACCAAATCTTACACCAAACTAAAAATCATCTCCAACCCATTATACCAAAAGTTGCACCAAATGAATAGCGTTTAGTCATTTTCTTCATTTCTTTTATTTTTGACAATTTATTTATTCGATTTACTACCACATATATTACTACATACAAAATTATGTTTCATTTACGAAATATGAAATTATTTAATATATTTTAAAAATGTAGCACAATTAATACAAATTCCACAAACTAAGTACATTTCGAATCTAGAAATTATTGTACAGCGAAGTCGAACTAGTGTCATAATTAATTATCAGAATTCATATATTCATTGCAAAAATGTTCAGTTATTATATTTCGAAGTGCCATATGAGCATCTTTATCCTTGATTTGTCTTTGACGAGCAATGAATTATTGGAACGTTGATTTTTGAGTACTTTTATTTTAATTCGTTAATCTATTATTATTGATTATGCAATTAAAGTTTATTACAAATGATGATCATCAATAATGATAAAATAATAATAATAATAATAAACTACTTAATTATGAATTAAAATTTACGTATGATGTAAAATGACACAAATACCCTTCATATCAACTTGATCATACATGAGAAAACGGCAAAATGGACTTTTATCACATTTGATAAAAATGATTCAAGTGAATAGTCTTGCACCATTTTGCATAGTGCAACATTATTCACTTGAATCATTTTGCACCAAAATGGTGCAAGATTTGGTGTTGGGTTGGAGTGGTGTATTTGGTGAAAAATAGAGAAATTTGGTGGAAAATGGTGGAATGGTGTATGGGTTGGGGATGCCCTAATTATTGCTCTTCTTCTCACCCTCATGCTCGAATAGCTCACGATCACTAGAGTGATTTCATGGAAGGGGATATCCTTGAATCAAAGGAAAGATGCAATCAAATGAACTTCTTAATTTGTGTCATATTATTGAGAGAATTTTCTAAAGGATTTTCTTGATTATTAATCGAAGAAGTTCTGCAAGTGCATGATATCGTAGTGAATAAAGTATCGTTCACTCAAAAACCATGTACTTAATCTAGTTCTAATCGAATAGTAACTAAGAAGCATTTGTAAAACCTATTAAACATATGCACTACGATATCGAATCCCCATTTGTCAATCCATTTTAGTACAACTTAAGACTATAACAATATTTATTTATTCTTGTTGACAATGTTTCCATTTTATTTAACAATTTCTCTTGAATAGAACTACACATATCCTCATATGTAACCTTCCTCAATTTGAAAGATGTTTATGTTAACCCCAAAAAGTATTGCCAACAGATGCCGAACCCACCCGCACACACGTGAACGAAAGTCCAACACGCTAAGACATGTGGACGGTCTAAAATGGACGGATCGAGGGTGTGGGAGTAGCTCAACGAGAACGTTCGGAATCCAACGGGATGTTCGTTGACCGATTGTACAATAATTACTAATCGATGTTTGTAAACGTGTATCTAAATATGTATGAACTCGTTTGTGTTGCAAGATAATAAGAAAGAGAGAGCTGAGTAAAGTATGATTTCTTATATGATTCTTGCATTAGCCTTTGTATGGGGTACATGGGGGAGTATTTATAGTGTCACAAGTTAGATCGTGACCTTTGGTTCGGGGTACATGTGGTCTCATCCGGTTAATTTACATGTCAATTTGTAGGCATCAGTCGCACCTAGCCTACTATACATTTATTGATTGGTAGAGTCGCCTCTACTAATGACAAGACTTAACATTACACTCATAATAAACGTCCTATCAATTATTCAAGTAAGATCTTTATGTAAAGGAATTCTCGGGAGAAACGTCTATAAAAGATGCTACTTTGTGATTTGGAGGCTACTACCTCCGCTACAGAGCTTCGGCCAATAGGGTCTCGTCCACTTTCTAAGGGCCTCGGCATATGGGCTTCGGAAGCTCTCTTAAGAGGCAATGATAGATGGGCCTCGATATATATAGGCCCAGGCTTCTGTGGACCTCGATTTATGGGCCTCGGCTATGCAAAATCACCTCGGCTTCAGTGCCACGTGGTTCGACATGAGTTGGTTGTCGCCTCGGTAGGTTGCCCAAGTGTGCAAACACGTAACAATAGTCCCCCAAGTCCAAGTATAGTCATTTATGTAATGCAAGGACTTTGATGATGAAGGCCAGCCAGTTAGGTTGAAAGAAATTTTTGTACCCCAAATAATAGTCCCCCAAGTCCAAGTATAAATATTTATATCATGGTTGGAGTTAGAAATGTGCCGTTGTGGAAGAATGATAAAAATTGTTACAAAAATGGTGAACCCGAGGTGGTTTGAGAACCGAACCTGCGAGGCTTGATGGCTGAATTCTGATGAGGTAGTCGAAGTGGTTGAGAATCGAACCTGCGAGCTTGATTGCTGAATTGTGATGAGAAGTCGAGGTGCTTGAGAACCAAACCTGCGAGGCTTGATGAATGAATTCTGATGAGGTAGCCGAGGTGGTTGAGAATCGAACCTACGAGACTTGATAGCTGAATTATGATTAGAAGCCGAAGTGGTTGAGAGCCGAACCTGTGGATTCTGATGAGAAGTCGAGGGGGTTGAGAATTGAACCTGCGAGGCTTGATGGCTGAATTCTGATGAGTTAGCCGAGGTGGTTGAGAACTGAACCTACGAGGCTTGATGGCTGAATTGTGATGAAAAGCCGATGTGGTTGAGAATCGAACCTGCAAGGTTTGTCGAGGTTGAATTCTGATGAGAAGCTGAGGTGGTTGAGAACCGAACCTACGAGACTTGATGGTTGAATTCTGATGCTCATTAGTAATGATTGTTCCTCGGCAGTTGTGCCAATGATTTGATGTTTTACGCATATTTTCGAGGAAAGTTGGCTGGACCATTCAACTTTCAAGGCGTTTGCTGTCGTCGAATTAAGTCATAACTATGAGCACAGCTCGAGTTTCTAGAAGCAGCCGCGTTTGGGGAGGTGCGTGGAGGACACGCTTGAATCTAAAGCGTAGGTTTGAAAAACCATTTGAATTCTACGCCTCGGATTTAGTTTAGAATGAAGGGTTCAGATTCAGTGGGCTTTGATCAGACGGCTGGTGTTCGTCCTGGCCCTTTATAAAAGGCGAGAGACCCCCATTTTTCTGGATTTTCAACATTTGCAATCTAATTTCTTCTTAAAAAACTCACGTTTTTCAACGTCCAAACAGTCGATCTTTTCGTTTTTCGACGTTACTCCGTTCGCGTAGTCATTTTCCATAGGTATTTTCACAGAAAATCCGTTGCATTGAGTTCATTTTGATATGGAGTCCACCTCGAGTCGGGAATTAGTAATTGTTGCATCATTTGACGAGGGGGTGAGTCACAGAGGGGACTTCGAGGTTGAGCAATATGTTATGACTGAAAAGCCAGTAGATTACAGTGAAGAGTGAGGGGTGTCCAGAGTGCCTTCAAATATGACTTTGAAGAGGTTGGGGGAGATCAGGGAGAGGTACTGTGTACCTCATTATGTGGAAATGTTGGTACCCGAGGCTCATGAGCACGCTTGCTATCCGAGGCCCGAATGCGTGGCGGTGAGTGAATACCTGTTTAAGGTAGGTATGCGTCTTCCTCTGCACCCATTCTTTAGGGTGGTGCTGAGGAACTTTATGTTGTCACCAACCCAGGTTATGCCAAATGGGTGGAGCCAGTTGGTTGGCTTGTACTTTTTGTGGAAGAAAGTGTCACTTGGGGAGGACATGCCTCTCCACGTCTTCATGGTCCTATTCTAGCCTAGGGTGATAGGTAAGGAGTCAAGGGGTGGTATTACTTAACTCATTGGGGGGCTCACGCACCATTTGTGGTGGGGCTGCCTTCTTCCATCAAGGGGTGGAAGGAATCGTGGTTCTGAGTGAGGGGTAGGTGGCAGGCAGTGGAGGGGGACACAGCCTTGACTTGCACAGTACCGACCCAGTACTACGAAGCTCGTGAGTCTCCCAGCCTAAGTAGTTTACATTTTGTATTCAAAATTTTATTTTCTAATTGTTGAGGCTTGCTGTGCAGATAGTAGTACGAGGTTCGAGCTGAGCAAGGAGGAGTTTGAAATGATAGAGGACATTTACAAGAGACCTCTGAAACTTCGACACTTCGACCACCTCATAGACTGAAACTGCTATTTCATTGACTTTGAATTGATGGCCTCCAAAGGTAGGAGGCTTGTATACTTATGTATTTCATGGTTTTTTGTTTCGATGCAGATGTATTGA